AGTGGTGGAGTTATCTCAGAACCAAGGTGCCTTCCACTGTTGTTGTGGTCCTGAACTACCCGTACCCTTCTATTAGAGCGGTGACAAAGATGACACTAACAGAGGTGCCACAAAGATATTTGCACTGCATCACATTGGTTGCTGCTCACAGTTCCAAGTATTAATGGTCTCCAAGTATTCCTTACAGTTTTTCTCCATCCATCTCCCTCTACTCTCTAGTTCACCCCATCTGAAGGATCGGAATGGTCTGTATGCAGAAGCACAAAACGTGATCAGCCTTCTAACAGAGGAATACACAGTTTTGCTGCAGCAAACTCATTTGCTGTTTTTGTTAAGCATTTTGCATCTTGCTTCATCCACAAAATTCTGCATCAGTCAGTCAAACTTTGGTTATTCCTGTGATTTCCTTTCCTCCTATTTAACACAACAGCTACTGTTTCCATCAGTTTTAGCCTGTTCAGCTGATTATCTTTTCTCTTTATTTCTGCCATGTTCCTTTTTTATTTGTGTAACATGCCTTGCCTTGTATTATCATATGCGATGCCAGATGCTATTTACAGCCTCTATGATTTTGTCCCATTGGCATTTACTTGTTTTGGAGGAAATGCTGTAGTTAGTCAGAAGATTTTCAAACATTTTTATTAGGGTCCTGGACCTCCCCGTTGGAGATGTTTTATTCATAATGTGGAACTGTTTTCTGTTTCTTAATTAGAATACGGCAGGATGACCCTTCTCAATGTCCTGAATTATAATGCTTTTCATTTTTCGGACCAAACAAAGACGTGAATCTTGGCACTGCTGGAGACAGTCATGTTGTGCAACTCAAACAGAAATGATCGCTTACAGACTTGCATGCTAGCAAAATTTGTTGATATAGCAATATTTCCCCATTGCAGTTTATTCCCTTTGGCTTGGTTATACAAGGAAATTTGCAGCTTGTCTTGCAATGAGGTAAACTACAGGACATCAAATGGTGTTCCTACATGCCTGGAGACTTTCCCTTCAAACTATGTCTTTTCCGGTTCTGTTGCGGTTGTTGTCTTTCATATTTCAGTCTTTATTTTTATATATCTTAATTTATAAGATAATTTTTTTTCTTTTTCTGTTTGGGACTGCAAAGGTTATCTCTCTCTCTCTGTTGTGTTATAATTAGCTGGGGTGGTATGGCCTCTGACAGGACTTTGTGATAAAAACATGTGACTCAAAATATTATAAATAATAATAATAATCTAAAGCTGTCATGATATCCTGAAAGTAAAGTAAGGCCTTTACCAGCACTAAAGACAAAGTGCTGAGCTTGATAGACAAATACAGAAAGAAGGACTCCTTTTTTCAGTAACTCAAGTCAGGCAACCACCTGAGATGCCCAGGTCTACCAGTTGCTTTTGAAACTCTTGGCTCACGCTAACACAGTTGTAAACTAGGAAAGGATCACCGAGCATACTATTATGGCAGATGTTCAGTGCTCTACACACACAAATGTTCATATGACTGGCTCTCTTCAGTAATGTTTGCTGCAAACTACAGATATTTATTGGCTTTTGCCTTCCAGATGTTCCCCATATACAGTAGTACATGAGCAGTAGTACATGAAACAAAACCCCAACAAGACTTGAGGTCATCTTGAGGAATTGTTGACTGACGTTTCCTAGTCTTCTCTTCTGCTGGCTTGGTTACATTTGTAAACCCAGCTAGGACTCAGAACATTTATCCTTGTTTAATTGCTGTGAACTGACATAACGAAGAAGGGCACTGCCTCTTGCTAGCCATGGGCTCTTTGTTAAGTAAGCTTTATTTAGACCAGTTGTGCTTTACATCAGTTGAGCTCTCTGTAGCATTTTGGAGGATACTCCACGCCATTAAGTGTTGTTTCTTGTTCACATGGGTTTCTGTTCTGGGAAGAGATGGAGAGGAGACTCTAGAATTGAAAAGTAATATCTGAAGGGTAGAAAAGAGTAACACTCAAAAATTGTGGTATTGTCCATTATCTATTACTACCACGGGAAAAATTGCAATTTTTTGCCTATTTTCTCTTCTGTTTTTCCTTTTTTCTCATTAATATTTATGGTCTCCTAAGCTATTATTTTTGAGCAAAGTAAATTTATTACCTGGAGGTGAGTTTAATTTTATTTTATTTTGCAGTTATCTATGAGTAATGGCTGTGTAGGTGCATTCACAGCGTTCTCAAAGGCTTGCTTTCCATGAGACTATTCCTGGCAAGAAGCATACACCTTGGTGTTTATTCAACTGTTAAGAATACAATTGCTTCAGAACTGTGATATTGTTGGCATTGCTTCAACATAGGCCAGTGCAGATACCTTAGCAGATAGGTGGCTCCCATTGTGCATTGAGGCCCATTTTGCATTAAGTTATTGGCAAGAAATAGCTTAGTTCCTGCCTGAAAAAAAAAATGTGATGTAAAGATG